AATAAAAACAAAAATAACAAATGGGACCTAATGAAACTTTAAAACTTTTGCACAGCAAAGGAAACCATAAACAAGATGAAAAGACAACCCTCAGAATGGGAGAAAATATTTGCAAACGAATCAACGGACAAAGGATTAATCTCCAAAATATATAAACAGCTCATGCAGCTCAATATTAAAAAAACAAACAACCCAATCCCAAAATGAGCAGAAGACCTCACTTCTCCAAAGAAGACAGACAGATGGCCAAGAAGCACATGAAAAGCTGCTCAACATCACTGATTATTAGAGAAATGCAAATGAAAACTACAATGAGGTATCACCTCATACCAGTTAGAATGAGCATCATCAGAATATCTACAAACAACAAATGCTGGAGAGGGTGTGGAGAAAAGGGTACCCTCTTGCACTGTTGGTGGGAATGTAAATTAATACAACCACTATGGGGAACAGTATGGAGGTTCCTTAAAAAACTAAAAATAGAATTAGCATATGATCCAGCAATCCCACTACTGGGCATATACCCAGAGAAAACCATAATTCAAAAAGACACATGCACCCCAACGTTCATTGCAGCACTATTTACAATAGCCAGGTCATGGTAGCAACCTAAATGGCTATCAACAGACGACTGGGTAAAGAAGAAGTGGTACATATATACAATGGAATATTACTCAGCCATAGAAAGGAACGAAATTGGGTCATTTGTTGAGATGTGGATGGATCTAGAGACTGTCATACAGAGTGAAGTAAGTCTGAAAGAGAAAAACAAATATCATATATTAACGCATATATGTGGAACCTAGAAAAATGGTACAGTTGAACCAGTTTGCAGGGCAGAAATTGAGACACAGATGTAGAGAACACACATATGGACACCAAGGGGGTAAAGCGGTGGGGGGTTGGGGGGGTGGTGTGATGAATTGGGCGATTAGGATTGACATGTATACACTGATGTGTATAAAATTGATGACTAATAAGAACCTGCTGTATAAAAAAATAAATTCAAAAATTCAAAAAAATACATTCCATATAGATTTAATATTAAAATATTTTTAGAAGAGTACAAGCAAAAATATACGAAAGTCTTTTTATAGTCCTAAAGTATAAAGGCCTTTAAACTTTTGATTTATTTAAAAATTTTTCACTTTGAAATGATTCCAGAATTTTTACAAAGAATTTTCATATATTCTTCCAATATACAAATGTTAACATCTTATAGAACCACAGTATAATTATTAAAACCAGGAAATGAACATTGATATAATATTATTAACTACTTCATTGACTTTACTCAGATTTTTCTAATTGTCCCACCAGTGTCCTTATTCTGGTCCAGGATTCACTCCAGGATCCTGGATGTCACATTTAGTTGTTACGTCTCCTTAGTCAGTTTTAATCTGGAAGAGTCCCTCAGTCTTTCTTTGTCTTTCAGGACCTTGACATTTTTGAAGAATACTGGGCAAGTATTTTTTAGACCATTGCTCAAGGTGGACTTATCTAATGTTGCTTAATGATTAAATTCAGATTTCTCTATGGCAAGAATACTATAGAAGTGATGTGGTGTCCTTCTCAGTGTGTCATATGTGTAGATATATGATATCAATTTCAGAAGCCTTTTAAAGTGTGACATAAAATCAGAAACCATAGAAGACTAACTTGACCAAATAAACATTTAAATTTTCATCATGGCAAAAATATCCCGTAATAAAAAATACAAATAGATATGTGATATAAATGACTCAGGGCAAATGACAGTGTGAGAAACTCATAGGTGGGTGGGGGTCTAAACTGATTGAGTTTTTATGAAGGATGTTCTGGCAGTATATACCAAAATTAAGAATATGCATCACCTTTGATCTCAGTTCTTTTTGTAAGAATTTATCCTATGAACAGTTAGGATGGTATAAATATAGTTATAGTACTTTATATAGGAAAGTACTTGATGAAGTTATAAGAACACTCTTAGCAGCATTGTTTGTAATATGGAATATTTTGAAACAACTTGAAAACTTAAGAATAGGAATTTGGTTAAATAAATTATTCCATATAATGGAATAATATGCACTTGTTAAAGAATAAGGTAGCTTTCATGCATTTTCATGGAAAATTGTTAATAATCTATTGAAGAGTATATACTATGTGATCCCATTTGTGTTTTCTAAAGATTGCATTCTTAGTAGAGCATAAAAACAACTAGAAAATTATGTACCAGGCTGTTAACAGTGACCGTTTCTCTGTGGGATGATTGTGTAGGGACACTTAGGGTTTATCCATATTATTTGAGCATTTTGTAATAATCATGTATTATCAGCAAATAGAACATTTACACAGAAAATAACTCTGAACATAATATGCATATCCTGCCATCCTGTTGATATTTTGACATTTGAATTTTTGTGCATGTATATAAGCATATATAATTATCTTTTTATAGAGTGAAATTATATGCTTTGTGTCATTTTGAAATTTCCTTTTTCACTTCATGTCAGAAAATTTTAGGTCATTAAGTATTTTTAATTCATCATGGCTTTTAATGGCTCCATAGTATTCCACTATTTGGATATACTACATATGTATGTATAAATGTATGCATGCATGCAACTGTCTTCGTAACCAGTTTCTGGTTGTTGCCTATTTAGTTTGTTTATAAATTTTTATTATAGGTAGTAATACAGTATCTTTCCTTATAGGTCAAGTTTTGTGTGTATCCATGCTATTTCCTTAGAATAAAATTAGATTTGTTGGTTCAAAGGTATGCATGTGTGTAAGATTTCTGATATATATTGCAAAATTAATCTGAAGAATAATTGTATTGGCAAACTTTTTCTTAAAATACCAGACAGTAAGTGTTTAGAATTGTAGGACGTAAGATCTCTGTCCCAACTACTCAACTCTATGACCACAAGGTGTAAGCAGCCATAGACTATAAGTAAATGGGTGTGGCTGTGTTTCAATAGGTTGCCAACCTCTTCACTATAACTACCATTTTACCAGAAATAAATGAATGTGTCTATTTGTTCTTACCTTTGCCAGCACGGTTTTCCATTTAAAAAATTAAAATACTGGTTTTTATCACAAAAGTGGCATATTTATTTTGGAAAATAGGAAAACGTAGATGAGCAAATATTAAAATATACACACACCCCATATACTTATCACCCAGTAATTATGGCTGTTAACACCTTAGTATATATTCTTTCAGAATATTTTCTACATGTATCTAAAGATATATCTTTTTTTAAACGAAAATGAGATCACACTATATGTACTATTTTTTAACCTGCTTTTTTCAGTTAATGATCTTTACTTTTTCGTGTGAACAAGTCTTCATTTCATGTAATACTCAATCCATCTTCAAATTTTGCCTGTTGGCCCCAAATCTCTTTTACTGCTGGAATGTCAGCACCAGGATCCAACCCAAGACTGTCTTGAGCATCCAGTGTTTATGTTCATTAAATACATCTTATTCTAGAAGAGTCTCTATATTCATGAGAGCTGTTGAAAAGCCCAACCCATTTGTCCTGCAGGATATGCACAGATTTGTTTGGTGGCTTCCTTGAGTTTTCATTTAGCTTGTTCCTTGTCATAGTCAGCTCAGGCTGCCATAACAAAATATCATACACTGGATGGCATAAGCAACAGAAATTTATTTCTTCACAGTTCTGGAGGATGAAAGTCCAAGATCTGGGTACCAGCATGATCAGGTTCTGGTGAGGACTCTTCTTGGCTTGCAGACAGCCACCTTCTCACTGTGTCCTCACATGGCAATGAGAGACCTTCCTCTTATAAGGCCACCAATCTTATCAGAGGAGGACCCCACCCTTATGACCTCATTTATCCTTAATTACTTCCTAAAATCTCTGTCTTCAAATACAGTCACACTGGGCGGAGGGATTAGATCTTCAACATATCAATTTGGGGGAAATATAGTTCAGTCCATAGCATTCCTGTAGCCCCTTATATTTCCTGTAAACTGGAAATTAGATTCACGTTAGATGCATTTGGCTAGAATACATCATAAGTGAAGTTGCATGATTTATAATTGTATCACACCAGGTGATAAATAATATCTGGCTATTTCTTATTACCTTTAAAAAATATATCTGTCAGTTTGATAAGCAATTTCTGATTATTGCCAAATTTTACATCTTTGTCATTGTTTTCATCTGCATTTCTCTGATTAAGTATTTGCCTTTCGAAGATGTGAAGGGAAAGGGAAAAATGCATAGAAAATTAATCAAAGTGAGAAATCAGAAAGGTTGGCTTGGATGGAAGAGGGAAAAATAAGAGGACAGTTTCAGGCAATTGTGATCGAGCTTGCTTTCTTCTTTCAATCTTTCCTAGTTGTGAGTTTTATTTTGGTCTATTTGAAACCATGGTGATCATGCTGAAATTCGTCTTTTTGTCAGTAGCACCTCAGTTACTCAGTGGAAGGTAGGTTGCTGAAGTGTGCACAACAGCTGAGAGACTGAACATTCCTAGGAAGTCTCCTCTAACACATTGCTGGGAAACTGTGAGATCACAGTCCTGCGGTCCTTTGGCTCCTGAGTCATGCTTGCTGATATTTGAACCCTCTTTTGCTTTAAGCCCAGAAAGATTGGTCCTGATAAACAGTGTAGAAATGAGTGTGTCATTTTTCCTTAATGATGATTACCCAGTAGAGGGGTGGGATAGGGAGGGTGGGAGGGAGGCTCAAGAGGGAGGGGATATGGGGATATATGCATGCATATGGCTGACTCACTTTGTTGTACAACAGAAACTAGTACAGCATTGTGAAGCAATTATACGCCAATAAAGATGTATTAAAAAATAAAATAAAAATTGGCAAACTAAAAAAAGAAAAAAAGAGTAAACTCGGCATAGCATCATCCACTTAAAAATTCTCTAGTATTTTGGCTAATGACATTTATCTTATGGTATGTAAATGCAAAATTTGACTTAAAATTAGTTTTCAGTGTCATAGTAAACTTAGAGTATAACTGTTTTCTTCAATCCAGAGAATGTCTTTCTATCCTGCACGTAATTCAGAAGAACAAAGTTCAGCAGCAATTCTTCTATGAGTTTGAAGGTGGCGTCAAGCTTGGAATAGGGGCCTTTAATTTGGTAAGTGATCAGAAAGCAACCAGAATCTTTTGTACAAGAACCTTAGGTTTTCAGTGCCTCTGCTACTGCATTTGAACCTCACCCTGAACCACTACCTGGGTTTGGTTGGCACGTGGCTACAGTGGGATCAGTTTTCTTGTGCTGTGAACCAGTGGGGGCTTTGGCCAGAATGTGCTGTAAAGTTCTGCACATGCTCAGAATAGTTTTCGATTGTATAATAAGGGAAGCATGCAGCTCTCTGAATGGACTAGTAACATTTTTTGGTAATAAGGAGCTTGAAATTCAGTTCTATTTCCACATCAGAAATATTATTGCTATAGCAGTGGTGGCTCTGAAATTGAAAATAGGTGAGGGAACAATATAGTTTGAGGGATGATGAAGCTCTGGGGTAGATGAAGGGTTTGAGTAGGTATCTGTCCAATTGCTATATTATTTAGATATTTTGAAATTTTATTAAGGTTTGACTGGAATTGGTGAGAAAATTAAGTGGTAAAGGGAATCCCACACATAAGTGTATACACTACCTTGGCCGCTTTGTTCATGAGCCCATTGGTTGATGACAGAGGTGGCTGAGGAGAGAGGCTGGCTAGTGTCCACAAAATGAATCACCCTATCCACTTGATTATTAAAATCTTCCTCTGCTGAGGTCAGCCTTTGGTGAACATTCGCATGGGACACAAATATCTTCACATTTTTTGCCCATTCTGAGAGGTCTGTCCATATACCTCTTTCCCAGAGGTCCTTGTCATCAATTTTCCCATCATGTTCTTTCTAAAGCCCTGACCATCCAACCAAACCATTGGCAACCACCCATGAATCAGTAAATAATTGCATATGTGGCCGTTTCTCCTTCCAAGCAAAGTGAACAAACAGGGCACTGCTCAAAGTTCTGCCCTGGGAGGACTTCCCTTTATCCTACTCTTTAGGGATGTCCCAGAGAGGGGCAGTAGTGCTGTAGGTGTCTACTTCTAGGTCATACCTGCATATATGAAGAATACAACAGACTTCTGCTTTTGGTAAAGGATGCTAAAAGAAACACTTTGGAGGTGGACACTGGGGGTTATCTTCTCATCACTTTATCAATCCACATGAAAGGAGCAAGTGTTCTTTAGAGCATTCTGAAAAAGCCAGGTTTTTTGTTTTGTTTTGTTTTTAATTTTTTAGGTGTATTGTCTTAACTAAATGAAATTAAGTCACAAGTAATGATTATACTAGGTGCAGTATGTGGTGATTGAGACATGTCCCGTGGTTTAAACTTGGTTCTAATTTTTCATATTACTGAATCATTAAAACTTTAAGTTGGTTAGAGTTTAACATTTATCTACAGTTAGATGTACTAACACATAAGTACACTTGTATTTTTTTTCTTACAGATGCTGTCCCTTTTACCAGCACGGATTATCAGACTACTAGAATTTATAGGATTTTCTGGAAATAGGGTACAAAATTAATTTTTTCTTAATTTTGACAAGGAAAATAAAAGTTATCTATTGAATCTGAGGGAAATACAACATGTCCTCATAACTAGCAATTTGTTTTCAGAACAATAAAGAGGTATTGGGTCTTGATTATATTTTTCAGGAGTTAGAGATGGTTTTTCTATTGAAAGTTAAAAATTTTCATCTTTGTTATTTAAATTCTGGGATTAAAATTTATGTTTTACTAATATTGCTGCTTGCTGGATCTTTAGTACTCATGTGAAGTTAAAATATGCTTCCCTAACATTTTTGCAACCCCAGAGTTTCCTGAAAACCCAAGAAATTAGGCTAGATTTCCCTGTCTAACATTTTATGATTCGTATGGATCAAGCATAGTTGCAGTGTTTTGGTTTTCCTTGTTTTTACACGTTTCACTATAAAACTAAGCAAGGAAATTTGTTTTCCATGAGTTTTGTTTGTTATAGTTCTGTGTGGTTGTATTTGTAGTGTATAACATTTATTAATCATAACACTCAATATGCTATTACCAGAGTTGCCTTATTGCAAAAGTTGTCCCTGTTAGTCCAGAGAGCAGGTTTTGAGAAATAGATGAGAACAGGTACAAGAAGCTGTAATTTTTTTTCCCTATTTATTCCACTGTCCAGGTTCTCCATAGGTATTATGTATTTATGGTGATCCCTTCCTGATATGGTCTGTCTATTCAGACTCTGTATTTCATCGTTACCCTTCCCCTCTACTATTCCTCTTCCACCTTATTTCTTTAGTAGCTCCAACTTGCCCCTTGAATAAAGTCCAAACTATAGCATGGATTCAAGGGCCCTAGGATCTGATGCTAGCCAATGCTTCTAGCCTACTACCCATCCTTTTTGCTTCCCCAGTGTTCCTGCTAAACTGGGCAAATGGTTGTTCACCAAACAGACCCTGTGCTTTTCTGTTTCCATGCTTCTGCTGGTGTCTGTTTTGGATGTCCTCCCCAACTGGCATCCTCCCAAATAATGTCTCTTGAGAGCCTCTTCATCCATTAGGATTGAGATAAATGTCACCTATTCCACAAAGCTTTCCCTTATCTTCTCCCAACAAAGCTCAAGTATTCCTAACTTTCAGAATCATTTACTTATCTTTCTTATGGCCCTCACCATATTCCAGTAAAATTATGTGTTCATGTACTACCTTCGCTATTTGATGGAAAGATCTTTGAAGACATAGAACTGTATATATTCATACCCACCATGGCGTTTTGTACTTAGATCGTCAATATGTTTTAATAAATTAATATTTATATAAGAGAAATAAAGCATTTTCTATAAAATGAGCTCTACCTTTTTCTCTCCCTAAGATCACATGATATAAGAATTTGGGAGATTGTCTTATGCCAGTTTAAAATGTAAAATTTGTTTCTAGTTAGATACTACTGCTATTCTAAGCTCTTGAAAAATAAACCCCACCTTCATGGAGGGTGGGGATCTGTGAGCTAGCATTTTAAAGTCTCTGAATATGATGTTTCAATCATGCTCTTCCCATTCTAAAATGCCTCTAATTCCCATAGGAATTGGGCATCCTGCAGTTACGGGAAGGTGCCTTAGGAAGAAGCATGAGGTCTCCACTATGCTGCTTAACTATACTAGCTTTTCATACTTATATCTCCCTGATACTTGGTAAGGACTGGATTATATTTCACATAATTGAAAGTTGATTATCTTTCATCTGAGTAAGTAAAAATTTAGAAAAATCAGTAAGAGATCATAGTCTATATTTACCTTTTTTTTTTTGAGTAAAAGTGGAAAATTGTGACATTTCTCATAGTAACATTTGGCAGAGGGGGTGGAGGGTTTCTTTCATCAAATTCTTTTTAATCTGTTCTCAGCTAAAAAATTCTATAAAGCTTGTTTAAGGTGATCTATTTTTAGCATATTACATTTCTTTCTATAGCAGAAAATTAAATTCTTGATTAAAATAAGTTTAATATTGCTATTAAAACCAGAAATTTCAATTAGGAATTGAAGGCAACCACCTCTGCTCCTAAGAATTTGCCCTAGAGCTTTCTTAAACTAAAGACATAGAAGAGACTTGTCTTCTTTTACTTCCCAAATATTAAAATGACAAATTAACAGTTTTCATGTTTTCCATGAATAGGTCTTTGCTATATTTTAATGAAATTCGGAGAAATAGTTATAAATGTCGACCACATTTCTTGAAGACTGAGGCTTTTCCTGTTAAATTTCTAGGTACAGGAGAAGTGAATGTTGCGGAAGCAGAGAGTCTCCTTGAACCCTACCTCCAGCAGTTTCCAAATGTACGCTTAGAATTTCAAGTGTCTTTTTCAACCATCATCAATCAACTAGGGTTGACCATTGAACAGTCTGTTTCTTCCTCCGCAGGGCTCCCTCATGTTGTTTTATCATGGCCGGATAGAGCTGCTGAAAGGAAATGTGGAAGAGGTAACTTATTTGAGGGGGTCATTTAGGGGGCTGTCTATATGGTGGAGTTGCGTAGTGCACCCATTCCATATGAGCAAGTCCAGCTATATGCACTAGACAGAAATAAAGGGAAAATATGTAATTAAAAAGCCAAAAGTTAATTGTGGGATGCACTCTATGATATATAGTAGATTACTGAATATACTGTACATTTGCACATAAAGTACCTGAGGCAATTCAGCGTAGGATATAGAAATACAGTTGGGCAGTTTAAGGGGCTTTCAAAAATCTTTGACTACTATCCATCTCGGTATTACATACTGACTTTGGAATCTTGCCCCTGCATAAAGGTCACTCCACTGTACTACATGTGTGCTCCCCATCAAAGGAAATTATTCACTAATTCCCTTGAAGAAGAAGAGTAAATAGCCTTTTATATAAATATACTCATGAACAATTTTCTTCTACACAAATGGGGTCAAACATGTATTTTTCCTTGATTTGATTTTTTTCTGCTTACAATACATCTTGGATTTCTTTCCAGGTCAGTATTTCTAAATCTTCCTCATTCTTTTTGATGGCTGGGTTTCATTCAATGAGGTGGATATACTGTACTTATTAAAGTATTGATAGACATTTGGCTACTATGCATAATGCTGTTGTAAACATTATGTGTATATTTCTGTGCAAAGGTGTATTTATATAAGATCGATTCTGGTAATGAGGATTTCTAGGTCAAAGATGTTTGCATTTTGATAAATTCAGACAAATTGCCCTCCTAACCAGGCTAGTCCATTTAAACTCCTGTAAAGATATGAGAATACTTGTTTTCAGTGCTCTTTGCCAACTCTGGTCATTATTTATCTGTTTTATTTTTGCCAATGTGATGGCTGAAAAATGATAATCTAATTTTTTAATTTATCTTTTCCAGCGTAAAAATTTCTTCATATGTATATTTGTCACTCATATATCTTTTTCTCTAATTTCCTATTTATATCTTTAAACTATTTCCCACTGAGTTGTTTGTCTTTTTTTAAGGATTTTATAAAATTGCTGTATAAGGGTTGATCCTTTGCCCGTTATGCATATAACGATATCTTTTCCCAGTCTGTCCATTGCCTTTAACTTTGTTTAAGGTATATTTTACCCTCTGGAAGTTCTAAATTTATTGTCAAATCTTTTCTTAAAGGACTTCTGCATTTTACATCTTACTTAAGAAAGGAACTTTGCTACTCCCACATGATAAAGTTCCATGGCCCTCTCACAAAGTTAAATAAAGAGGCAAAATTTAACTGTATTGTTGCATGTAAGGAAAGGAATGTGTTGTCGTATTGAGTGGTTTAATGAGTGATGATTTTGCTCTTTTTGTACAAAGTGTTTTATGTATTTTTCCATTAGGTTATTATCTCCTTGTCTAATATCTGGATGATCAGCTTTATGCAATTGACTTATAGGCACAAGAGATATTTCGAAAATGCATTTCAGTTCAAGAAGAATGGAAACAGTTTCACCATCTCTGTTATTGGGAGCTGATGTGGATTTTTGTATTCCAACAAAACTGGAGGAAGGCATATTACTATTCAGATCTGCTTTGCAAAGAGAGTAAATGGTCCAAGGTGAAGTACAGTTTCATTAATGTCATCTGTTTGCTAATAGGTATACAGGATGATTTTCATTTAGGACTGTTTGTTCCATAGTATGATATTGACACTGTTTTCTCAACTTAGAGATCCATCAAAGGACGAAGTGGACATTAAGTACCTACTGTTTGTAACTACTATCCTCAGCACTACATGCTTTAAAAACCATCCAAATAGTCGTTTTCAACAAAGAGGCTTTATCTGTGAAGATGAACTGTACTTATATATAAAAAGTATTAAATATCAAGTATTGATAATTGTTTGTAGACTTTTTGATACCCTGATAACAAGGCTTTTCATAATAATCAAAATTAATTCTTTATCCATTCATCCGTTGCTGCACACTTAGGTTGCTTCCATGTCTTGGCTTTTGTAAATAATGCTGCTATTAACGTTATGATGTACATATCTTTTTGAATTAGTGTTTTCATTTTTCTTTGGATATATACCCAGGAATAGAAATGCTGGATCATATGGTAGTTCTATTTTAATTTTTTGAAGAACCTTCATTCTGTTTTCCATAGTGACTGTACCAATTTACATTCCCACCAACAGTATACTAGGGTTCCATTTTCTCCACAATCTCATCAACGTTTATTATTTGTTGTCTTTTTGATGATAACCATTCCAACAGGTGTGGCAAGTGAGGGGAAGGAGATTAAGAGGTACAAACTGCTAGCTATAAAATAAATAAAATACAGGGCTTCCCTGGTGGCGCAGTGGTTGAGAGTCCGCCTGCCGATGCAGGGGACACGGGTTTGTGCCCCGGTCCGGGAAGATCCCACATGCCGCAGAGCGGCTGGGCCTGTGAGCCATGGCTGCTGAGCCTGCGCGTCCGGAGCCTGTGCTCCCCAACGGGAGAGGCCACAACAGTGAGAGGCCCACGTACCGCAAAAAAATAAATAAATAAAAAAGAGTTCTAAAAAAATTCTGATCCATTTGTGAAAAGTTGGGAGGAATGAGATAATCTCTTTTTCATTTTGTCCATTTTCTCATCCATGAACATTACAGTTGTATAATAGGAAAATGGCCAAAATTAGGTGAAAAGTTTTGATCTCATTTGGTACATGTGATATAAGACTTCATTTCCTTTTTTTTATATATTTGATACCTCTTAAATATTATATCTGGAAGATTTGTAGGTCTTTCCTGATTTGCAAGATAGCAATGTCATGTACCTAGGATGCTCTCTGACTAGCTGCTTTTCTTTTCCTCAAGGCAACATATGTGTTCTTAAAAGCTGCAATTTTGAGTATGCTTCCAGAGGAAGATGTAGTAGCAGCTAAAGAAGATGTGGTAACTTTATTTAGGTAAGCAAGACACTATTTCTATAACAAAGATCCTGAGTGAAAAGTGGAACACACAAATACTTTCTTTTTTCCCTTAGTGCTCTTCCATGCTTCACTTTCATATTTCTTTAATTTATCTGATTGGATACAGAAACTCTTAAAAAATATATTTAACTAAGGGTCAAAATGTCATCCTTTTAGCAAGACTTTGCAGATATGCCAGTGTAATTGGGAATCTTGAGAACACATTTTTTTTGTTTTGTAATTGGGGCTTTGCTACTGCATTTTGAACACAGTTTCCTAAAATGGTATTGTTAGCTAAAGATGTTTACTGTTATAAATCAAAGGTATTTTGTGATCAGAAAAACTTAAGAATATAACACAATATAATATACCCTTAGTTTTCATTAGTGTGCCAAAGATTCTGAGAAGCTCTGCTGTGAAGTAATCTGTTTAACTTTCGTTTAGACCAGTGTCCATCCATCCATCCATTCATTCATCTGTAACCTTTATGTTGAGCACCTACTGTATGAAGACTACTGTGTTAAGTGCTGAATAAACAGGCATGGATCCTGTCCTTGTGCAGTTCATAATCTTGTAGTGGAACTAGACATCAGTGAAATAATCACCCAGTAAATGAAAAATTATAACACATGACTGATTTTTTCTCCTCCTACTTGTCTCACTATTCCTTCTTGGTATCTTTGTAAGCTCATCCTATTTCCATCTGTTAAAAGTTGATCCTTTTGATTTCAAAGGTCAGTCTTAGAACCTCAACCTTAGGAGACCTGATTCAAGCCAAATTGAAATCCCCAGTACAGACCTTGTGACTGAGCTCCAGACCCATATATCTAGCTCCCGTTTACCACCTTCACTTAGATATGTCAAAGCATTTAAAAGTCACCACATCCAGTCTTCCCTAGCAAACCTGGTGTTCTTTCCTCTCTCAGTGACTGGGACTACCAGTTAGCAAGGCAGAAACCTATAACACTTGCATCGCCAACACTACCCACTGTCCCTCCATTCCCCGGTGGGAGGAGAGGTATGGATAAGAGCACAGAGGGAATGATAGTTGAGATGAGGTCTGAAGGTGGCTTGGGAGCTGCTGGGGCAGTGGGGAGTTGTAGTGATAACAGTTTCAGACCAAGGGAACAGCATTTGAGAGGATGCTGTTGCAGGAACAGCATTTGAGAGGATGCTCTTGCAGGAAGAGCATATGAGAGGATGCTCTTGCAGGAACAGCATATGAGAGGATGCTCTTGCAGGAACAGCATATGAGAGGATGCTGTTTCAGGAACATCATATGAGAGGATGTTCTTGCAGGAAGGAGCACTGCACATTAAAAGAACTAAGACAAAGCTGATACTGGTCAGGATGTGATGCTACATTTTATATATAGGTCAAAGGAAAATGAATGTCCAGGATTGCTCAAAATATGTCTCATAGAACACAGAATTCCTTTAAAAAATAAGAGAGAGTCTCCAGCCGTACCACCCTGAGTGCGCCCGATCTTGTCTGATTTTGGAAGCTAAGCAGGCTCGGTGCTGGTTCGTACTTGGATGGGAGAGCGCCTGGGACTACTGAGTGCTGTAGGCTTAAAAAAAAAATAAGACAAAATGTGTTTTAGGGACACAGAGCTCATTGGTATCCTGAGTGGGAGTTGGTAAGGTAATAGAACAGAGGTAGAAACCAGACTGAGATTGGCTAAAGAGTGAATGAGATACAAAGAAATGAAGAGAGTTGAGCATAAATAACATCCCTGGATAACTTTGACTATGAAGTGGAAGAGATAGAGAGAGAGTTGGAGGGAGATGTATTTTCAAAGAATATCTTAATGGGAGAGATCTGAGCATTCTCAAAAACCACTGGGAAGGATCCTTTGGAGAAAGAGAAGTTAGACATATAAGCGAGAAATGGTATAAGCGAGAAATGGGATAACTGATATTTGCAAGGCTCTTGAGAATGCAAGAGGAGCTAGAATCCAAAGCACTGATGGCAGGACTGGCTTTATCTAGAGGGAGGACCAGGTCCTCTATTGTATGGGAGGGAGGAAGTCCAGAACAGGTGCGGAGGCATGCAAGCTCGTGGGTGGTAGTGTGAGATGGAGGGCTTCCTCCCTCACAGCTTCTGTTTTTCTTTATGAAGTAGGAGGCAGGGCTGTCTGTTGAGAGTGAAAGAGAAAGGAGTGGGCTGGAGGTGTGAGGAGGATGAAGAATATTGGGAATCATTGCTGTAGAGGGTGGGACAGTGAGGTGATGAGAGAAACACAGGAGGGGGAATGGGAGGCGGTGCCAGGGCTCGTTCGAGGTTGGTGTTGATGAATTTACAGTGATACCAACTTGTTCTCAGTGCAGGTGCAGGGAGGATGGATACTGAGCTTCATCCGGATGAGTGCAACGACTAGGCATTAGCAAGGGAGTCTAGGACATATGCCAGAGCATGCTGCAGTAAAGATTGCCTGCCTGGCAGTCTAAGCAGGAGGTTGGAGGGACAGGGAAAGAAAGAGACTGCTGAGCTGGGAGAAAGTTGAAAGGCAAGAGGACTTCAAAAGTCTTAGTAGAACAGCCAAGGTAGAATGAGGAGAGTGGTGTTCAAAGGGTGGTGTGCTTGAATTTGTGCTTTGAGGTCGAAAAGTCACAGGTGATGGAGTGGTCTAAGGTGTGACTGTAGGGGTGGGTGGCTGTGGTGGAAAGGAGGAGGCGACTGCTGGAGATGAGGAAGTTAAGGAACGGAGAAGCCCAACCGCGTTCTTCAAACATAATTGATGACAAACACATTTTAAAAAGTATTTATTTATTTTTGGCTGCCTTGGGTCTTCGTTGCTGTGCACGGGCTTTCTCTAGTTGCGGCGAGCGGGGGCTGCTCTTCGTTGCGGTGCGCGGGCTTCTCATTGCGGTGGCTTCTCTTGTTGCGGAGCACGAGTTCTAGGTGCACGGGCTTCAGTAGTTATGGCACATGGGCTCAGTAGTTGTGGCTCACAGGCTCTAGAGCGCAGGCTCAGTAGTTGTGGCGCATGGGCTTAGTTGCTCCGCGGCATGTGGGATATGCCTGGACCAGGGCTCGACCCCGTGTCCCCTGCATTGGCAGGCAGATGCTTAACCACTGCACCACCAGGGAAGCCCAGTGACAAACACTTTTAAGTGGAATACTATAGTGTGTGACCACATTATGAGAAATAATGGCCTGGCTGAACCCTCTGACAAATATGTCAGAACAAATTTGAAGGTATGACCTTCAAAGGACTACTTTTTCATGCTTTTAGAGAAGCTCTTTTTAGCAATAGGACCATGTATACTAATAGAATCAACGTTAGTGGAAGCCATGTAGATTAATGCCACCTCTTACTGGTAGAATGTATTGCCTCATTTCACACAAACAGCAAATGGGATGGAATATTAAGATACATTGGGATCTTTTACATCCACACTTCCTGTACTTCAAAGTAAATTTTCTCCATATCAAAATAATTTCTTTGAAATATGTAACGAATCTTATTTTCAGGAGAAAGCTTGAGGTCTGCTGCATGTGTGATAGCATCTAATTTGTTGGGATAATGAGAGGAGAGTCCCCAAAATGAATGTTCTCTTCATACAGACTCTGTGATCTTTAAATGACACGGTTTCATGTCCACCGCATGCTTCTGACCCCTTCCCTCAACTCCCACCTCACATTTCCACTGCCTCTTCCACTGATGTTAATTCACAGTAATGATGGGCATTCTGGTTTAAAAGCCATAGCCCTTTGTACACCTGAAAATAATATAATGTCATATGTCTATTACCCCTCAATTTAAAAAAATCCATATTCCCAAATTGTGCCCAGAAATAATGTAACACAAGCTTGTCTTCATACTGGAATGTTTTTTCCTCTTATTGCGTCTTTTTCTTTCAGTATAGTTGGATATTTCCCTAAATTTCTTCTTGGCAACGTGTTTGGTGCATTTGCAAAGTTATGTATAAGAAAGTGCCCTAGGAACATGTAGTCTCGTCATCCTATTCTCAATTTTATCTGCTTGTGAATTTTATAATTGGAATTTCTTAGAATTTTGAGAGAAAGGTTGTAAACATGGTATATGTTCTTAGTTGATTATTTTCAAAATCACCTATGCTTTGGAAACATTTTCTCAAATTATACATGAATTGACGGCTGTCTTTTGAGCCACATTACTTTATAGATCTGTGTCATACTTGCAGAAAGGAATAGGAGATGTACCATTATACGCTATTGCCTCTCTCAGAAGAATCCACAGTGTAAATACTTTGGACTTTTTCCTGCTTACTTATGGAAATTGCCAATTTTATATCTAGATTTCCTTGACTCTGTTTGATAGGCTAAGACACTCGCTAAGTTAACTAGAAAGAAATACATGTCAATCAGTGGTTCTCAAACTTGTGCATGCATCAGAATCCTCTGGAGGACTCATTGAAATCCAGATTGCTGGGCCCCAGCTCTAGAGCTGCTGATTTAATAGGTCTGGGGTGGAGCCTGCAAATTTGCATTTCCAACAAGTTTCCAGGTGATGCTGATGCTACCGGTCTGGGGAGCACAGCGTGACAAGGACAGGTGTAAATAATGTATGTGTTCTTAATGACCTTTCGCTGGGGCTGGGGCTTTTCACAGACAGGTGGATGGCTTGAAGCAGCGAATTGCTGGGAAATCGATCCCTACTGAGAAGTTTGCTGTGAGGAAGGCTCGACGTTACTCTCCCTCGTTGCCCGCACCCGTGAAGCTCATCTTGCCTGCCCTGGTATCTGCCTTTATTTTATTTACTGTTTGCATCCTAGAAATAAATTGTCTATTCACAGTGGCAGGGAGAACATCTAACTTTTGTTGTAAAGTTTGCTCAATTAAAAACCATTGTGTTTGTAAGGTGAACATTTATAAATAAGTTATTAATGAATAATAAAAAGTATAGCAGATGTTTTTTGACTGGTATGTTCTAGGAATTTTGATAAAGGCTATTAATAAAATATATCATTTAATTCTTATAGTAACTCTATGAGGGGAGTTTCATTTTGTAGCCTCATTTGACAAGTAAGGAAATTCAGGCAGAGACAGATGAGTTGACTTAATTGAAATTGAGTTGAATTATAATGCAAGCCACATATGTAACTGTACATTTTCTGGTAGCCACATTAAAAATCAAAAGGTAAAAAATTGAAAAATAAAAGGACACATGATAATCATTTTAAGAGTATTGGTTTAACCCAGTTTATGCAACATTTTGTCATTTGAGCATGTAATCTCTAAAAACTTATTAATGAGATTTCGCATTCTTTTATATTGTACTCATCCATTGAAATCTGGTGTGTGGTCTATGCTTAGAGTGCGTCTCAGTTTGAACCAGTCGCATTGCTCCAGAGCCATAAGTGGCTGGTGGCTGCTGTGCTCTAGCCCAGCGCTAGAGCTCACATTCTTGATCGGTATGCCATTTAGGCTAGACTTTGTGAAAAGCATAATTTCAACTTAAATTGTCTTAATGAAGACTTTTTTTTAAAGTACTGAATATATCAAATTATGATGACTCTTTGGGGCTTTAGTTTTGCGTAGGTAGTCACATAGCACAGGAAAGCTGTTTAGTGCAAGCTGACATCTGCTGTCCTCCTTTGGGGGTTCATGATTTTTTTTTTGATTCCAGAGTTTATTCAATTATCCCCCTTTAACAGTTATTTAGTTTCCAGTTTTTACTACTACAAAGAAGCTACAATTAATATTCTTTCATATCTCTCTTTTTGTACGTCTTGGAGAGATGTCTAGAAATGGAATTCTGAGTTGAAGGGCATATGCATTTAATACTTTGACATTGCCAGTTTGCCCTCCAGAAAGGCTGTACCAATTTAAATTCCTACCAACAGTGTTTTACTGTTTAAATGTGCAGTTGAGCATCTTTTCACATGCTTGTTCATTTTTATTTCTTGTTTTGTGAATTGTTGTTCGTATACTTACTTCCCTAATTTCATTGGGTTTTTAATTATTTTATCATTGATATAGAAGCTCTTTAAATATTCTGTGAGAAAGAAAACTGCAGCCCCTCACAGGCATCAGTTGGGAGCTAGCCTGCACCTAGTACCTTGACCCAGGTTTTCCCAACTTAGTCTCAGAGAACACCACCCTCAGACTGGGTTGTTCTGTGCCTGTGATGGAATGAGATAAAAATATTACCACTCTAGAGACTTCCCTGGTGGCGCAGTGGTTAAGAATCTGCCTGCCAATGCAGGGGACACGGGTTCGAGCCCTGTTCCAGGAAGATCCCATATGCCGTGGAGCAACTAAGCCCGGGTGCTACAACTACTGAAGTCTGCAGGCCTAGAGCCCGTGAGCCACAACTACTGAAGCCCGTGCGCCTAGAGCCTGTGCTCCACAAGAGAAGCCACCGCATTGAGAAGCCCGAGCACTGCAATGAAGAGTAGCCCCCGCTCGCCACAACTAGAGAAAGCGTGCCCGCAGCAACGAAGACCCAATGCAGCCATAAATAAATAAATGTGTAGATAAATAGATAAATTTAATTAAAAAATATGTGATCACTCTGTAATCATATCTGAGCACAGTTAAAAATAAGAACACCATGCAAATCTCAAAAAATGACCAAACATCCCCCTTTCCCAGTCAACGTGGGAGCCTGCTGCTGTTTTACCAGTGACAGCTTTCAGCTCCATTTCTGCTTCATTTCTATCTAGTGATTTGTGCTGGGAAATTTTTTTCTTTCTGTGTCACAGAGCTTCCCTGAAATTTTTCTAGAGCACCATAGTCCTTTCTCTGCCCTAGAACTTAGATGCTTGTGCGTACATGACGATGTATAGCTTGCTCTGATTACTAAGGGTCTTAAGGAAGGTTAACTCAGAGCACTTATTTCTCCAGGGCTAAGGGTGTAGAATTGGCTTGAATTTTACCAAAATCCTGTATGTCGTAAAATGGCAAGGTCAGGTATGAACGTTCCTTCTCTGACAAAATATTCCTTCGATAAAAGCAAAATTTAAAAACATCATCATCAGTTAAAATAAATGTTCGGTTAGTTATTGAATTGAACTCTTACTCTATTAGCAATAAGAAGCTAGATGTAAAACACAAGGTAGTGTTGTTATCTTAGTTTTCAGTACCATAATGTAAAGATGACTTTGCTGCCACTCCAATGTATTTTCCTCATTTCTACTGCTTCCCTGTAAGAGGCTGTTCAAACAATATCTCTATAATATTTTAACATTCGTTTATTTCCAAGAAGATTCTAATTACTCTGGTGATTTCATACCTTTCAAAATATGAACTGCACTACCAGGAAGATTAGAAAAATATTTTCAAGCAAGAGCACATTTGCTTTCGGTCCCCCCCAAAAAAAACTCTCGTCTGTTTGCCTATTAAGTGTAATTTGCAATGAGAAATCATTAGTTTACATTTTTAGGGGCTGTCATTCTGCCGTATGGCCTTTAAATGAGTGCATTTTCTGCATATTGGATTGCATTACCAGACTGTCACATGTTTTTAATGGTATAAAAGAACCTGAGCCAGGTAAAATATTTCCTATGTTCATTTTCAGTGATGTCCTTGGAGACATTTTATATAAACAATTGGCAGATATTGAAAAGTGTTTCCCTTAAGAGTAACAGCAAAAATCTATATTAAATAGAATTGTTCATAGTATCATTTTAAAAAATTATATTTTTTTCTGTATCTGTAATCCATTATCTTCCAAAATGATTGGATACCAGTAGGTGCTTAATAAATACTTGTTAAATGAACAAGTAAATTAATTTTTCAGTAAAAACACAATATACTATATATATATATATATATATATATAATACTTCACAGTATAAAAGGCAAAAAGCATTAAATAAAGTGAGAAAAGGGGAAATTAAATCATTAAATTCCAAATGAGGAAAGCTAAGGAAAATGATCTCTAAATGTTGTCTTGAGATCACTAGCAACTGAGGCAAAACACACATATGTAGTTTTGTTGTTGTAAAGAACATTGAATAACCTCACATAATTGCGAATGGTTTCTCATTTTTCCTCATTAGGAAATGATGTATGTTTGGAATGGTTTTCCACTAGTGAGCAAAAGAAAAGATCTTTCTGAGAGTCTGTTGGTAACTGTTGAAAAGGCTGAGGCAGATCTACAAAGTGAAAGTAAGTATGAAAAGTAAGAGCCTGGAAATCTTTACCGTTGCCCCTCTCCCGTCCTTCCCCTGTGCACATATGCCCGTGTTAATTTGTGTGCATGATGAGGACAGAAGAGCTTGAGCCGAGGTGTCTGGGTGATTGTAATCAAGATGGAGAAAAGATACCTGATACAACATAGATGAGCCTTGGGGACGTTAGGTTCAGTGAAAGAAGCCAGCTGCAAAAGAAAACCGAGTGAGAGATATAATTTACATAAAATATGGAGGATAGATCAGTCTGTAAAGACAGAAAGCAGATGAGTGGTTGCCTAGGGATGGAGAACTGGGGGTGTGTGTGAAAGCTAAAGGTTATGGCATTTGTTTTTGGGGTGATGAAAATATTTTAAAATTGATTCTGGTGATGGTTCACACCTCTGTAATATACTCACAACCAGTGAATTGCATACTTTAAAGGGGTGAATTGTATGTTATGGGAATTTTATCTTAAGGCTGTTAACAAAATAAAAAGATGAAGAAGAGAGTTGAGTTTTAGAGCAGCTCTAGGGAAATGTATACTCGTTTTAGTTGGTTGTGATTCTTTCCGTGCCTCATTTTTGCTCTCTAATGACTACTGTGTTTTTACAGACACAGAGAATTGTTTGTTTTCAAGTTGAAATCTTGTCACAATTTGATTTTTTTACTCATTACTTTGGTTGTACTGGAGGTCCCTTTCCAGTGTACTGGAAGCTCTATTTACTGGAAGCATCTGGCATAGTAGGAGGAAAATCAGCTGGTCTGGTCTTATAGTTCCAATCCTGCAGCTGTGAGGCTCTGGGAAGCATACCTCGTCCCGTACCCAGGAGGGCCTCCGATTTCTTTTAAAATGGGTGTGGTGTTGGACCAGATGATACCCAGGGTTTTCTTGCTGTGACATTTTCTAGTTCTCTGTCATAAATAGAGGCTTTAACTTTTGCTAAACAATACCGTAAGTGATAGCTTTTGTTGTATTCCTTATCAACCCCCAAATCGTTTAGGTATTATTCCAAGATAATGGTCTTATCCTCTGGAACGTTCTAATCACAGAAGTAAAGCAAAAATTGCTGGGATGATAAACATTGTAAAGGGCATAAAAATTCAAGAATAGCCAGGAAAAATTCTAACAGGTAACTAATTTTTCTTAGCTGGAAGAAAATGGGCACTGAAGGAGTACCGGCTCCATATGCAGTATACTCCCCACGTGGGGGATGAAATGATTGACTGACTCCAGGGATGAGCACCTCATTTGGATTATTTATTTATTTAATTTATTTTGTAGTATAATTGCTTTACAATGTTGTGTTAGTTTCTTCTGCTCTGCAGCAAAGTGAATCAGCTATACATATACATATATCCCCTCTTTTTTGGTTTTCCTTCCCATTTAGGTTACCACAGAGCACTGAGTAGAGTTCCCTGTGCTACACAGTGGATCATGTTTTACTTCAACCACAGTATGGGGCTGAAATGTTTAATGACATTTCTCTTTACAATTACTTTTAAAAAATTAAACACGTAATTACATTTGATAGATGTGTTACCGAGTCCAAGCTCACTCAGCTCGCCACACGACAGGCCAATGAATCAGAGAAGATGTGCTGAGGCAAAGGAATATGACTTTATTCGGAAAGCCGGCAGACCGAGAAGATGGCAGACTAGTGTCTCTGAAAAACCATCTTATCGGGGTCTGGATGCCAGTTTCTTTTATAGAATCAGAGAGGGAGAGGTGGTGTGGAAGTAAAGTAAAAGGGCCACCAGTCTTGCAAAACTCCTGGAATGACCAGCCTGGTGAGGGGATGTGTTAGTTTCTTTTTTCTTGCAGCCAGTCACAGGTGGGCAGGGTTTCCTGAGGCAGGCCATTATGTATGATTATAATAACAAAAGCAACGAAAAGCAAAGGTTAAAGTCAAAGAAACAGATCCAATGGGGAGTCCGTTTTAGCTCTTCCCTGTTACAGATGTAGGTGAAAAAAGTCACCCATATTTTTCCTGCTATGCACAATTAATTTAGAATTTTTGTGTATACCATCCTAGCTTTATTTTTAAATTATTTTTTAAAAAATTTATTTATTTTATTTTTGGCTGCGTTGGGTCTTCGTTGCTGTGCGCAGGCTTTCTCTAGTTACGGTGGCGGATTCTTAACCACTATGCCACCAGGGAAGCCCCATCCTAGCTTTATTTTTATAGTTACAATCATAGTGTACCTGGACATACTCTAGCCTAGTATTTTTCATTTATTATATCGTAAACTTTTTTTTCCATTAAGATATAATTGACATATAACACTATATTAACTTCAGGTGTACAGCATAAGATTTGATATTTGTATACATTGTAAAATGATCACCACAGTAAGTCTAGTTAATATCTGTCACCGTACATCATTACAAAAATTTTTTTCTTGTCTTCAGCGCTTTTAAGATCTACTCTCAGCAACTTTCAAATATGCAATACAGTATTAACTATAGTCACCATGCTGTATACTACATCTTCATGACTTAACTTATTTTATAACTGGGAGTTTGTACCTTTTGACCTCTTCATATATTTCACCCACCTCTCAACCCCTTGCCCCTGGCAACCAACCTGTTACCTGTATCTATGAGGTTTTTTCTTTTTCTTTTTACATTTCACATAGAAGTGAGATCATACGGTGTTTGTCTTTCTCTGTCTGACTTTTGTTCACTTAGCATAATATCCTCAAGGTCATTCCTGTTGTTGCAAATAGCAAAATTTGATTCTTTCTTATGGCTGAATGTTCTATTATATATATATAACACATTTTCTTTATCCATTCATCCATTGATGGACACTTAGGTTGTTTCCATGCTTGGCTGTTGTAATAATGCTGCAATGAACATGAGGGTGTATGTATCTTTTCAAGTTAGTATTTGTTTTTCAGATAAATATGCATAAGTGGGATTGCTGGATCATATGGTAGTTTATCATAAGTGTTTTAATTGTTGCTAAGTAACCCTTATAATAATTTCAAAAGCTTCATGGCATTCCATGGAGATAATATATCATAATTTAATCAACTCTTTCAGAATTCTTGGGCATTTAGGCTGCCTTCCATATTTAAAATAATTGTAGCTTTAGATTCCCACCAATAAGGAGAAGAAATAGAAAAGAATGAAAGCTGAATCAGTGGGCTTATCTGCTAACAAGTTCAAGGTTTCAGGCTGGATAGATAAAGAATGAAATGGAACTAAGAGCAATGCTGTTCTGAGGCCACAGACCACCGCCCTCCCCCCTCCCCATTAGCCTTCTTGCAAATACAAGCAGGCGATCACAGGGATACCAGGTGAGTGGAATATTCTACTCCACTGTTGAAAAACAGTTGTATGAAAAGCTCATCTGTTAATGAAGGGCGAGTATGTCACCTTCCCATATTAAAGGCATCATTTTAAATAAAAGAATGATGGTTTCCTTTTCCTTCTTTTTCTTTCCCCTTTTACAGAAAAGTTATAATACTTCAGCTCATTTTGATCTGGAGGTTAGGTAGAGTACCCCAAATATTGAGGTATTCATCTTCATGGACTGATAATTCCCTTTGATTTCTGGGCACCAGGGAAACGAGTGGATGAGAAGGCTCAAGAAACTGGGACCAAAAGGAGGAACTCAAAGTTTGTACTATTTAACAAAGAACCAAAACAACGTATGTATAAGTACAGACTATATGGACATTTCAGACTTTCTTTGTCTGTGTCCTAGATGTTCCATCACTAACATATTTTCTGCATAGTTTCTACTAATATAGAGTTATGATAAGCCTCCTTACATTTTTTACAATTCTTTAAAATTTTTAATTGTAGGAAAATGCGCATAATATAAAATTTACCATATTAACCATTTTTTAAACTGTATGGTACAGTAGTGCTAAGTATATTCACTTGGTTGTGCAACCAGTTTTGAGAACTTTTTCATACCCATTAAACAATAACTCCCCATTTCCCCCTCCCCACAGCTGTGGGCAATCACCATTCTACTTTTTGTTACTATGAATTTGACTATTCTAGAGACTTCGTGTAAGTGGAATCACACAGTATTTTTCTTTTTGTGGCTGCCTTATTTCCCTTATCCTAATGTCCTTCAGGTACATTCATGTTGTAGCACATGTCCGAATTGCCTTCCTTTTTAAGGCTGCATAATATTCCCTTGGATGTTTATACCACAGTTTGTTTATCTATTCATCTATCAATGCATATTTGGTTGCTTCCACTTTTGACAGCTGTGAATAATAGATACTTCTATGAATATGGGTATGCAAATAATGTTTTGAGACCCTGCTTTCAGTTCCTTTAGATATATGCCCTAAAGTGCAATTGCTGGATCATACGGCATTTCTATTTTTAATATTTTGAGGAGTTGTCATCCTGTTTTCTCTAGTGGCTGCACCATTGTACATTCCTACCAACAATGCACAGGGTTTTAATTTCTCTACATCCTTGCCAATGCTTGTAATTTTCTATTTTTTAAAAAATTTGTTTGTTGGTTGGTTGGTAATAGCCATCCTAATGGGCGTGAGGTGATTTTATTTTTACTCTTTTTAATATGGAATAATTTCAAAAAGGAAAAATACTTACTGTGATTTGAGTGGAAACTCAACATAGAGCCCCCATCATTTTGAAATGTAATTTAGATGAAACTCCATAAATGTTTACTTCAAAAAATGAGATTTCACAAAATGTACTTCAGTAAAATGTATTTGGGCTTTTGAACAAATTTACTAGTGTTTATTTTTGTTGAATCAATTTGGCCACTCTTCATCAGTTTGTTCCTTTGAACACTCTTAGATTTTCCATACTAGGTGTAGCATTGGGACAGGCAGAGAAAACATTGTTCCTGTCATTAAGGGAATTATCTGTGGTTAAACCCCACATATTCACAAATCAGATGGAAAAATGAATATGTTTTAAAATAAGTGGGTATGTGAAAACTGGGAGGTAAAGAAAAACCTCTTTTTATTAAGTTAAAACATTTGTAGGGTATTTTTCCCCCAGAAAAGCAGGCTAGCTTGCTTCTTCTGTTTTACCACAAAGATGAGGATTTTGGTGCAGTAGAATAAATTCTATTGTTTGAATGTCTGTCCTTTGTAGTATAGACTATTACGTACCACCAGGGAGTAAGGGCTTTGTATACAGTCGTACCTCAGTTTCTGCGTGGAATCGGTTCCAGGACCCACTGTGGATACCAAAATCCTTGGATGCTCAGGTTCCATAGTTCACCCTCTGTATCTGCAGTTTCCGCATCTGTGGATTCAATCAACCGTGGGTCCTAAATGTAGCTCCAATCTGGTTGGTTGAATTCGCGGATGTGAAGCCCTCGGATACCGAGCACCCACACTGTTAAGAAGCCCTGAGAGACTGTTGAGTTTTTCTGTATTTGAGCAGGCTCTTCACCCCTTCCCTCTGAATTTATTTTGCCCCTACATTGGTGGGGGAAAAAAATTAAAGGAGTAATATTTGTATCAGACTACGCATGTAAAATGCAATAGAGGTTTAGAAAATCAGGCTGTTCTCTCCATCCATTCCTTTCTCTTTTAATGACATATTGAGATGATAGACTTTGAGAGATATTTAAGCAGGACTGGTGGGGGAGAAGAGCTCAGACAGACAGACACATTGTACTTTGTACAAACTTGTCTTTGTATGTCTTCCTGCTGGGTAAAAAAAAAAAACAAACAAAATACTGGTTTCTTTTCTGAACATCACTTTTGCTAGATGTTGCACATGAAATTTGATGATCTCTTCTAGGTCCACGGTTTTACGCAAGATGATTACCTGATTCTATACCCCTACCCCCTTAGGATCTTTTAGTAATTAAGCTCTTATCCTTCAGAGTGAGGGAAAAAAATCCACAGTTGGAGAATGGAGTGAAGTGGTAAAGCTGAGGTGACTTCAGCCTCCACTAAACACCTCCTTCCCCCCTACCCACCCTCGCCACATACACATTATTAGGAAATGAATGTATTTTGGCTTCTCGTACCTTTGTTAAGTGTCTCTAAAGTAAAAGATGGTAGAGGATATAATTGGTGTTCTCCTCTGACGATGCCACAGTTATGAAAGGCTGGTCAGAGATACAAAAGGAGGAATACTGTTTAAAGACAGAAAAGAACTTGGTAGTATGCCTGGAGTCAGTATTTGCTTTTAATTCCAATAGTGCTTCACTTGAAATCTGACTAAATTCAACGTGTAGCCAGAAGTTGGTTCAGTAGTTCTACTTAAACTATTTGTTATAACTAATTTGCTTGGTGAAATTATGTAGCAAGCATAATAAGAGTTACATAAAAGGGAAAGTGTTACTTTATGGCTCTTCACCTCTAAATCTATTTTCACATTTTTCCTTTGGTGCATATCAACTAGCTTCTAAAAAGTTCAATGTACATATTTTGTAGCTTGGGCCTCAAATTTCCTTTTCCCTAAGCCTACCCTCTGTTTTAAGTTCAGCAGATCTTTTGTGATGCAAGTGTGCTTTGGCAGCATTATTGTGTAATTTTCTTGGGGTGTAAAATGGAAACCATGTGTTGAAATGTTCATCCGTGAACTCTCCCATGAGGTTGATAGTCATGATAAAGCCTTCACATTTTAAGGGAAAATAATCATCTGACAGGTAGTGGTCTGAGGAAATAATGGTTTTGCTTTCTAAGGTTTTTGGAGGAACATGGTATTTTTGAATCCATTTTCCATATCCTTAAGTCATGATCTAAATAAAAGTTGTGTGTTTTAATGGTACTTCAACTTTCCATGGTGTTCCTCAGCAAAATTGTCCTTCACTGAGCACCAAAACGGTGAGATAAGACAAACTGTCATAAAATGTGACATAGAACTCAATAGAATGCACAAAAGTGATACTAAAACTTAGCATCCAGTATGGACCGTAAGGGTTTGGTTCTAGGTCTGGAAAGATATTACTTCTTGAATGGATATTTCAATGAGCATCCATGATTAGAAGCATAAATAGATTTTTTTGAGGCAGAGGGGGAATGGATTTTAATAGGGAAGGTAATGTGGCATTGACATTTGTGATTTTCTTAGTGAATAACCAGTCAGTTCTTGGAAGTGAGAGGTGAATATCAGCTCTTTTCAGCACCTAGAAGTAAAGTGACCTCCTCTGAGTTGGTTAAGTAGCATCCTTAACCTCCCATAGACAAGCAGTCTACTGAATAAAACACCAGCATGTGTTAATGGTGATTTCTGACGTTTATACTGCAAGCAAGAGTATTTCAGTATGAGGGACTCTTAGAGCCTCATTAGTTTGGTTTACTGCCCCTTCCCACCTGTGTTGTCACAGCGTGAAATGTATAAATTATCAGTCTGTCTTGGAGTGATTTGTTAGCTGCACTTAACTTGCAAAAAAAAAAAAAAAAAAACACCCCAAATTCAAAAGTGATAGATGTGAAATGGCAACCTTTGTCAGATAGATGTCACACACGATACGGTTCCTTCTGTTAATGTATGTTAGCCTTGGGCTGTAGAAGGGAACAAGTCATTTTCAAAAGGGAAAAAGTCCTGAAAGAAAGTCTTCCGCATTAGCCTCACGCAGTTAGAAGTTTGTGTGGATTTTAGGAGGCTTGCACACCTCAGAACCATTTTGTCTAATTTTATGACATAATTTCTTCCCCAAAAGCACATAACCTGGGAGAACTGATAAGTTGTAAACATAATGATCTGGAGAGGGTGTGCTCCTTCCGGAATTTTTAATGGGGAGAAGGCCATCTGCTTCTCCATATGGAAGCATTACCCTCTCCTAGACGAAGCCAGCACAGCCAGGGACCAGAACCACAGGAAGAGGCAGCGTGCGACCTCCTCACCGCTCTACCTTTCACAGAGCTAATAAAGCTCTTGCTTTATTCACAGTTCAGATTTCCTATAATTATACCTAAGGTCACATAACTCAGAGTATGAGCACCCCCCAAAAATTTTAAGTGGCAAGAGTGAACCCCTTAATAAAATGGTGTATTAATGTAGTTAGTATTCTTTTCATTTGAAATATTTTCATTGTATTTTATGTAGTGAGACATAACAAATGCTAAACACATTCTCCTTATTTTTAAATGGTCCCTCTGAAACCTAAGAGCTGTTAGCGCTACCTCTTAAATAGGATTTTTACAAGTATTTTTCTTTCCGTGTGTGAATTGTATGTTTGTTTTGCTTTAAGACTCCAGCGACTACTCTGTAGATGATGAATGCTTAGTGAAGTTGCTGAAAGGATGCTGCCTGAAAAACTTACAGCGGCCTTTACAAGCGGAATTGTGTTTCAATCACGTTGTCCAAAGGTAAAAGCGGACAATGAAACCAACTTGAGTGCAAATTGTGGTTTCTGGGGAATCGCTGTGAGAAAGTGATGCTTTTATCTCCCGTTGCTAACCTTTTACTTGGTGTTACCAGAAAGAGAATCCAGTAATGTTTTCTTTATTCTTTGAGAAAAAAATTATAACCTAAGTGGAACGTGGCGTTATGCCTTTCTACCTGGTGTTCAGAGGTGACTTAACAAAAGCTGAATTTACAGCCAGGCTGACATGTGTCTGTCTAAATTCTGGCATCAGTGTACAGAACATCTGATAGTTTTTTGATTCATGCATTTGTCTGTCATTCATTTATTCCACAGATATTTGAGTACCCACTATGTGCCAGAGACTGTGATCCTGAATCCTAGGGATTCAAAGTTGAGTAAAAAGACTCGCCATCATTGTAATGATAATGTGACAGGAAAGAACGACTGTGATGAATACTAAAACTGCTTCTCTTTTGGCAAGGGGCATTTTTCTGTAGATGAATGAGTTTTAACCCCCCAAGAGCATTGATGATGATGTCCTGCTCTTTCACTAATTAGAGAGTTGAGTCAAGGTTCTGATGCCTGACCCTCTTCTCTACATCTGGAGTCCCAAATGCAATTACAGGGGCCAGACAAGTAACCTTACTGAATGATGGCAGGACTAGGGATTAGTGGGCACTGCAGATTAGGGAGATTGTGTGTTCTCTCTAAAGAATGCAGCCACTCCTGACCTCTAATTGATTATTGCTCTGGACAGTGTGGGCCCAGTAGCAATAATCCCTACAATTTTTTTTTTTTTTTTTGGCTGCGTTGGGTCTTCGCAGGCTTTCTCTAGTTGCAGCGAGTGGGGGCTACTCTTCGTGGCGGTCCACGAGCTTCTCACTGTGGTGGCTTCTCTTGTTGCGGAGCACGGGCTCTAGGTGTGAGGGCTTCAGTAGTTGTAGCGTGTGGGCTCAGTAGTTGTGACACACGGGCTTAGTTGCTCCGCGGCATGTGGGATCTTCCCGGACCAGGGATCGAACCTGTGTCCCCTGCATTGGCAGGTGGATTCTTAATGACTGTGCCACCAGGGAAGTCCCTACAATTTTTCATTGAAAGCCTGGAATCTGAATTTTGTATAACATCTCCAGATTTTTAAATCTTGGCTCAATTTTTTGGAAACCATTGTGTAAGCCAAATAGATCACAGCCATAGACTGCTGGTTGACGTTTTTTGTTCCATATCATATGCCTTTCCATCCATAGCTACTCATCCTTCTCTTTCTGACTATATATTATGAGAATGTAGGAGGACTGGTGTCCTTCTAAGAAGCTGAAAGAGACAATATCTATTTCCCAAATAAGTAATATACAGTCTTTAGTAAACATGTTAAAGAAGTATCCGTTGAGTTCTCTTTTATTAGTGTTTTTATTAGGATCAAAAGGATGACCCATTTGGGCTATTTGTTGTATTTTTGGAATCTCATAGTGGATTGCCTGCTGGTGTATTTTGTAGTTTTGGATTGTGAGTTCACCTTCAGTCGGGTTTTATCTTGAGGCTCCTATGAGGCTAGGATTGAGGAATAGTCTCTCTCTAAAGTGATTTTGCTTTTATTTCTGCCAGATGCCCAAAAGACTTTTCCAGGCCAGGGCCACCTTCATGTTAATTTCATTGCTTAGAAGTTCTTGGATCATTTGGGCCACATAAATTTGAATTGCAGATTCATGTGAGGGCAGGCCTATTGGTTATTAATTTCCTAAGGGATGTGTTTTTTTCCACCCCCCCCTCACCTAGACCTCAGGCCAAGGAGCCAACTGCCCCTGTCTTCCTCCTATGCTGCAAGTGGGTTTTTCCCATCTGCCCTTTCTCTGGTGGAGCAGAGCCCCAGCTTTATGTAGAGTCTCAGCCCAGGCTCTACATACTATGTGGACCCAAGGCCTCACCTCCTGTGTGGACATTGAGACACAAAGCGCTGGCTGAATCAGATTGAAACAGACCTAGGAGTGCTTTGGCATCATGCACACACTTAGAGTTCTGGTTTTGTTTTGCTTTCAGTTTGAGAGTTTTCCTTATGTCCTTGTGAGCTGAGCTCTGCATTTTAAAGGGTGTTGCTCTTATTTTTTTGAGTGCTTCTAGATGTTTTGTAGTCAGAGAATTGTCATAATACTGCTGAAAACCGAAGTGTTGACCACTTCTTTTTTGACATTTTGAAGCATTATAAGACAGCAGTGCAAAGAGAGTTGAACCTCAATGAGAAATAAGTGGCATCATTTTCTGAGTGGAGTCATTTCCTGAACACATTCATGTTCAGGAGGGATGATCTTGTCCTTTCTAGGGTTAATCTTTGAAGATCTGCATGCATTTGTATACCTGAAGGTCAGTAACCAATCCTCAGTGCTGGATTTATATTAAGGCATAAAATAAAAGAGTAATATAAGGAATTCCCTGGCGGTCCAGTGGTTAGGACTCCGTGCTTCCACTGCAGGGGGCACGGGTTCAATCCCTGGTCGGGGAACTAAGATCCTGCATGCCAGAGCTTGGCCAAAAAAAAAAAAAAGTTAAAAAAGAAAGTAAAAAAGAAAAAAAAGAGTAATATATTAAAAGCATACTATTTATTGCCATGGTTTATTAGGTTCCTTAACTGTATAATGACAGCTTTTCTCTGATAATAATCTTAGTGCTGTAGCTGTTTTCTTAAGAATGGGGAAAAATAACATATATGTTGGAAAAGAATGATATGTTCCTTGTTCTGTTAAGACTTAATTGCTTTTCATTTGCTCTTTTAGTGAAAAGCTACTGAAGTATGACCACTACCTAGTGCCATTTACTCTGTTTGAGTTGGCATTTTTGTATAAAAACCAAGGGGAAATTGACAAGGCCATAAAGGTCCTAGAAACTGCAAGGTAAGTGATAATGGCAGCTTCTCCTTGATTGCTCTGGAGTCAGGAATGTCAATACAATTTTAACAACAACAGTAACTTGATACACTTAAAATGAACACATTAATGAAAAATTAGTCACAATTTTACATTTGCTAATTTATGCTTAGTTTCTGCTTATGGCTTTTGCTGGAATTGTGCTGTTTCCAACCCTTTTTTTTTTTTTTTTGCGGTACACGGGCCTCTCACTGTTGCGGCCTCTCCCGTTGTGGAGCACAGGCTCAGTGGCCATGGCTCACGGGCCCAGCCGCTCCGCGGCATGTGGGATCTTCCTGGGCTGGGGCACAAACCCATATCCCCTGCATTGGCAGGCGGACTCTCAACCACTGCGCCACCAGGGAAGCCCTCCAACCCTCTTAATGCCTGACTCTGTGGCTGTTTACAAATGTTGTGATTTGGGGGACCTACATGACAGATTTCTGGCCTATTCTCTTCTATATCAGGGGTCAGCAAACTTTTTCTGTAAAGGGCCAATTAGTAAGTATTTTTGGCTTTACAGTATAAGGTCTCCATTGCAGCTACTCAATTGTATTAAAAGCAGCCATAGAAGACAATATGTAAATAAATGGGTGTGCCCAGATTTGGCCATAATTTTGGTCATAGTTTGCTGATCCTTGGTGTGTTCCACCATCTCTCTCATTTCCTTAAAGAGCCATTGATTGGAAGAAGCCCTTTGAAGCTTCTCCTCTTTCTTCTTTCTGACTACTGTGGCAGTTTCAAAGCACTTTATCAATTCTGATGTCCAGTGGCTCTCAGACCTCCTGTGATCATGGCTCACTTACTGGGGGCACAAACCCTGTGGTCTGCTTGCTTTGAACACTACTTGCCATGGAGAAAGAATGCCATGATAGCTGTAGGCCATAAGTAGCTTGCTGATTCACTAGTTTGTTCATTTACTCAAATTCAGCAGAGCATTCACTGAGTACCTATTATGTGTTAGACACTAGAAAAGGTTCTAGATAGACAACTGTGCATAAACAGGCAATGTTTCTACCTTCTAAGTTGAGGGGTATTGGTAAATAAATAAGAAGAGTAGCAATGGTATGTGCTTTGCTGAGATTTACAATATGATACAGGGTACTCGAGTGCTACTTTAGATTGAGTTGATTCTGGAAGGTTTTCTTGAGGTGGTATGTAGTTGAGATTAGCATAATTAAAGCCAGTCCTGAGAAGACCAGTCACCAGAGGACTGCATGAGGAGCATTCTTGGCTGGGGGGTGGAGCGGGTAGGGTGTTGAGCCACTAGGTTGATAATGCTTCTTGAATGAAATGGGGAATACTTAGAGGATAAGGATTGAGGAGAGAGAGAGAAGAAAAAAACTTACTCCTGTTTGGACTGTGATATTTTGAGATGCCTATAGGTATTCATGTGGAGATGGTGAGTTGGCAGTCATATATACCAGCATGGAGTTCAGTGTAAGGGTCAAGGCCAGATGTAGATATTTCAAAGTCACCAGAACAGAGACAGTGATATTTAAAGCTGTGGTGCTTGGTGAGGTCATTTGGGGAAAGTTATACAGCTAGAGAAGGAGATCCAGCATAGGGCCTTGGGATATACCATCATTTTAGAGATTAAACAAGAAGACTAAGAAGTGGCCAGTGAGTTAGGAGGACATCCAGGAAAGCCAAGTGAACAAAATGTTTCAAAAGAAGAGAGTGGTCAGTTGTGAAGATGGCCACCAAGAGGTCAATCAAGGTGAGACCAGAGAAGTGGCTGCTGAACTTGGCAGCATGATCATCGGTGACTTTGACAAGCAAGGTGAGAAAGTGGAGTTTGCTACTCCAGGCAACTCCTTCAGGATATTTGGCTGTGAATAAAGCATAGTTATGGGGCAGAAGCTTTGGAGGCACAGTGGAGCCAAGAGAGGTTTCATTATCTTTTTGTTTTTAAAGCCGAGGATATGAGAGAAGTCACTTTTAAAGTTAATTTGTTGAGAGTGAGTATGACTCCTATTTCAACTGACATTCGTGTATCTTCAAATCTATTGAAAATTTTTAGTCCCATTGGAAAATTTGGGACTAAAAATACGGTTTCTAAGTATTCATATCATTTGGACATATTTGTGCATTATCTAAGCAATGCACAGCAAGGCAACTTTATAACAATGAGAATAAAAGACTAGTAATTCACTATGAAAAAGCAAGACCAGCAGTGATCAAAAGTCACCACTAACTCAAGACAGTCCTAGTGATGTCAACATAAACAGACGTCCCATAATTTCAAGACTTGATTATCTGCAGTTTTCCTTGTGCAGTAGGAGCTTTGCAAAGCTTCTGGAGTTAATTAGGGAAATACTCAATTATGTCCTTTGGTAAACTCTAGTAAGATGTTGGCTTAGCTTATGAATAATAACCCTCATTATGAATAATAACCCTTATCAAGGTTACCAGTAAGTAACCCTTAGACCTGTATAAAGTAAAGGGCTATAAAAAGAAATGAATGCCACTGCAAAGAAAGAAAGTACAGCTCTCCCATGGGCCACGGTGGTGTGTGAAAGCAGAGCCCAAGGTCCAAAGCATTCCATTTTGCTGATTCTGAACAATTCTAGCAAAGAGAAGTCAACATGGATGATCTAAGTGAAGTTTTTAAATAATCTGTGGATTTCTAATGCCCCTCCTGACATTGTCACATAATAATTATTGATCAAACCATTGATATTTGCCCATCAGAATTGCAGTAAGTAATTTTGGTGTCACCAAGTAATCCTGCTATCTTTGTTGTGATTGTCGTTTTGTGCGAGTTTCTATATCTATATCTAAATATATATATATATATATATATATATATATATATATAAATTTGTGTGTGTGTGTGGAGGGGGTGAATGATTATGTTCACCTTGTTTATACAGGCTGCCTGAAATTTCCAGTTTAGAAAAGGAGGTCAACTCTTTAAAAATACTTCACAAAATTTGTTAAGCCCTCCATGTAACCTTCTTGCTGTTTGTGAATGGTTTGGTAATTACATAAACCTTGCCAGTCAAAGCACGCTTTATAGACCACCACCAGGAAGCTTCTAGAAATACAGAATATTGCAGTCCTCATCTCCTCCCAGGACCAGAATCTGCATTTTAACAAAATCCACTGTTATGCATATTAACGTTTGAAAGCAAATAAGGAATGAAGATGAGAGGAGGGGGAGGAAGGTAGTGGTGCCCTGGTATATAAAGGAATTTTGACATTACAATGTTAATGTTATTTATTTTTAGAAATAACTACAAAGATTACTCACTGGAGTCCAGACTACACTTCAGAATTCAGGCAGCTCTTCACCTCTGGAAAAACTCTTCCTCAGATTGATCAGAACATGAAGGATGGAATTTTCTCTCAATTAGTACCGGCATCTGCTGTAGATTAGACCTTGTATTAAAGTGGAAAAATGATCTTGTGAATGGGAGACAAAAAACTAATTTTACTGTCAATATTTTCTATCATCTGTGTGGTTTACTATTGGTCTACATAAATGGGTTTTTTTTTCCTATGGAATGATGTTCAATAATATCTAGAAAACTCTTATATTCTGCATCTCCAAAAAGAATGTCATATCTGATTTGAATTGGAGAGTGAAAAGTCTTTTAAAGGACTCACAGGTACAGTAAAGTATAATTAGATTATTTATTTTTTTAACGTGGAAATGAATATTGTGTAAGTAGCAAATGGCTTACAACCTAAGCATTTTTAGCATGTTGGTCAGTTAAACTTCAGAGATATTTTGTTGCCTAGCATTTAAGTTTCAGAGGGGAAATAAGAATCACCTACATTCAAAATAGCTCAATAACTTTTCGAAAACTCCTGAAAAAGACAGGAAATGGGTGTGAACAGGACAGGTAATGTAGGTAATAGGTTGAAAGACCTGTATCTAGAAAAGGTGATGAAATGTTATTGTTTTTTATTCTTCATGCAAGTTACAGGTGGTGACAGTTTTGAGAGACTATCCTGTTTTTGAATGTACTTAAGTCTGTTATTATTATAACAAAATTCAAAAAATTCCATGTATCTAAAGGGAAAAAAAGTTATATTTTAGAAAATTTCCTTAACCTTAACAATGAGCGCCTAAAAGATATACGTTGACTATTTTTCTTATGAAGTTCCTGCTGCTTTCAATGATATGTAAAATAATAATTTTTACACTCGTAATGTTGGTGTGTAAGGTCTAATCTGCTGATTTCTCTAGCACTGTGATGGTTCCTTGTAAATATCTGGACTGTGCTTAGTCCTTTAATTTGCAAACACAATCAGGGCATGGAGTGGAAGAGAGCCAGCTCTGTGTGGTCCTGGCTCTGCTGTCGGCAGTTACCAGGGTGACCTTTAATGGAGTTCTGTGCTCTCTCCTTCACCATATTTTCCTCATCTGTAAAATGGAAAAAGAACAGATGAATTTCAAGGTCTCTTTTAGTTTTATAACTGTGGGTCTGAGGCTGAGATATTTATTTTCAGCAAACTGTTAAAATGTTTAATCCAGATCATTCCCACTTAGTGTGTGTTTTATTTTACAATCATCACTGCCCTCCCCAGCCCCTCAGCTCTCCAATATGTATGTGCAGTGGCTGAGGACAAGACTGCATCCAGAGCGACAAAAACAGTTCATGAATCGATGAATCAGGGTTTTGTCTTATTTCCATTTTGAAGAATAACTTGTCGTGGAAGCCTCTGCAGTTTAACAAAAACAGCCCCAGATTGGCAGTCAGGAGCCCAGTTCTATTAGTTAATAATATTTCCTCTACGTGGAGCCAAGTCATTGACGCTTTCTGGCACTCAGTTTCCCTGGTGGGGATAGCAACACAGAGCTTGGTGCTTGTGAGGGCTCTATTAGATAATGCATATGATAGCTTTTTGTAAACTGAAAGGCTGCATGAATATGAGTTGTTGTAATAGTTATGGTTTTTATGTATGTATTACAGTATAAAAACAAAAGTATTGGCTTGAGTCCGTGGTCTCTGATATAAAATGAAAGTGTGGAGATTCAAACAAGTTTAAATTTATTTGAAGTGTTTGGCACTAACATGAGCTCACATTGTGAATTTGCTCCTTGCTGTTTATTCCCTGCTATATGAGCCTGTAACCAGCAGGTATTTGGTCTTGTTTTCTTTAAGGTACTAATTCTTGGCCAATACTGAGGATGTTTTTCCAGTGGAAAATGATGAATGCAACTCAACTCAGAGTTCCACCCCTTCAGATAATATTGGTGGTAGATTCATCATGTGCTATTAATATGAATTATATAACTTTACATTAGGACCAAATAAAAGAGAAAATAACTGTCATTACAATTAGTAAGGGAAAATCTGCTCAAAAATTTCTTTGAATATTACTTGGAAAAAAAAGTCTCCAAAGTTCTTAGAAGAGTTTTGGTAGCATTATTATTCTTATTTTTTAATAATAAAAAAAACGGTCATATTGCTTTTGTGAGAAGCTACAGAGCAAGAGTGAGTAAAAATGCACTTTCTGGTATGAAATCTAAACGATTTAAGGTAATGGTAGTTATTTTTGTTTTATTTTAACTCTGCGTTACCAAAACAAATATAAAAATTCGTATCTCCCATTAATATTTTTCCTTTATTTGTTCTTATTTCGTTTGTATTTTCATTTCCTTTTCTTTTATAGTTACCTGATAATCTATCCAATGGATTTTTAAATGTTGTAATATCATTTATTTATTTATTTTTAAACATCTTTATTGGAGTATAATTGCTTTACAATGGTATGTTAATTTCTGCTTTATAAGAAAGTGAATCAGCTATACATATGCATATATCCCCATATCTCCTCCCACTTGCGTCTCCTTCCCACCCTCCCTATCTTACCCCTCTAGGTGGTCACAAAGTATCTCCCTGTGCTACGCGGCTGCTTCCCACTAGCTATTTTACATTTGATAGTGTATATATGTCCATGCCACTCTCTCACTTTGTCCCAGCTAACCCTTCCTTCTCCCTGTGTCCTCAAGTCCATTCTCTATGTCTGTGTCTTTATTCCTGTCCTACCCCTAGGTTCTTCAGAACCATTTATTTTAGATTCCATATATATGTGTTAGCATACGGTATTTATGTTTCTCTTTCTCACTTACTTTACTCTATATGACAGACTCTAGGTCCATCCACCTCACTACAAATAACTCAATTTCATTTCTTTTTATGGCTGAGTAACATTCCATCGTATATATGTGTCACATCTTCTTTATCCATTCATCTGTTGATGGACACCTAGGTTGCTTCCATGTCCTGGCTATTGTAAATAGAGCTGCCATAAACACTGTGGTACATGTCTCTTATTGAATTATGGTTTTCTCAGGGTATATGCCCAGTAGTGGGATTGCTGGGTCGTATGCTAGTTCTACTTTTAGTTTTTTAAAGGAAACTCCATATTGTTCTCCATAGTGGCTATATCAATTTACATCCCCACCAAGAGTGCAAGAGGGTTCGCTTTTCTCCACACCCTCTTCAGCATTTATTGTTAGTAGTTTTTTTGATGATAGCCATTCTGACTGGTGTGAGGTTATACCTCATTGTAGTTTTTTATTTTTATTTTTATTTTTTGCGGTACGTGAGCGTCTCACTGTTGTGACCTCTCCCGTTGCGGAGCACAGGCTCCGGAAGCGCAGTCTTATGGGCCCAGCCGCTCTGCGGCATGTGGGATCTTCCCGGACCGGGGCACGAACCGGTGTCCCCTGCATCGGCAGGCGGACTCTCAACCACTGCGCCACCAGGGAAGCCCCCTGCTCATTGTAGTTTTGATTTGCATTTCTCTATGATTAGTGATGCTGAGCATTCTTTCATGTGTCTGTTGGCAATCTGTATATCTTCTTTGGAGAAATGTCTATTTAGGCCTTCGGCCCATTTTTGGATTGGGCTGTTTGTTTTTTTGATATTGAGCTGCGTGAGCTGCTTGTAAATTTTGGAGATTAATCCTTTGTCAGTTGCTTCATTTGCAAATATTTTCTCCCATTCTGAGGGTTGTCTTTTCATCTTGTTTATGGTTTCCTTTGCTGTGCAAAAGCTTTAAAGTTTCATTATGTCCCATTTGTTGATTTTTGTTTTTATTTCCATTTCTCTAGGAGGTGGGTCTGGCTGTGATTTATGTCATAGAGTGTTCTGCCTATGTTTTCCTCTACGAGTTTGATAGTGTCTGGCCTTACATTTAGGTCTTTAATCCATTTTGAGTTTATTTTTGTGTATGGTCTTAGGGAGTGTTCTAATTTCATTCTTTTACATGTAGCTGTCTAGTTTTCCCAGCACCACTTATTGAAGAGGCTATCGTTTCTCCATTGTATATTCTTGCCTCCTTTATCAAAAATAAGGTGACCATATGTGCGTGGGTTTCTCTCTGGGCTTTCTATCCTGTTCCATTGATCTATATTTCTGTTTTTGTGCCAGTACCATACTATCTTGATTACTGTAGCTTTGTAGTATAGTCTGAAGTCAGGGAGCCTGTTTCCTCCAGCTCCGTTTTTCTTTCTTAAGATTGCTTTCGCTATTCAGGGTCTTTTGTGTTTCCATACATATTGTGAAATATTTTGTTCTAGTTCTGTGAAAAATGCCATTGGTAATTTGATAGGGATTGCATTGAATCTGTAGATTGCTTTGAGTCATTTAGGCATTTTCACAATGTTGATTCTTCCAATCCAAGAACATGGTGTACCTGTCCATCTGTTTGTATCATCTTTAATTTCTTTCATCAGCATCTTATAGTTTTCTGCATGCAGGTCTTTTGTCTCCTTAAGTAGGTTTATTCCTAGGTATTTTATTCTTTTTGTTGCAATAGTAAATGGGAGTGTTTTCTTGATTTCACTTTAAGATTTTTCATTAGTGTGTAGGAATGAAAGAGATTTCTGAGCATTAATTTTGTATCCTGCTACTTTACCAAATTCATTGATTAACTCATGTAGTTTTCTGGTGGCATCTTTAGGATTCTCTATGTACAGTGTCATGTCATCTGCAAACAGTGACAGCTTTACTTCTTCATTTACGATTTGGATTCCTTTTATTTCCTTTTTTTCTCTGATTGCTGTGGCTAAAATTTCCATACTATGTTGAATAAGAGTGGTGAGAGTGGGCAACCTTGTCTTTTTCCTGATCTTAGTGGAAATGGTTTCAGTTTTTCACCATTGAGAACAATGTTGGCTGTGTGTTTGTCATACATGGTCTTTATTACGTTGAGGTAAATTCCCTCTGTGCCTACTTTCTGGAGGGTTTTTATCACAAATCGGTGTTGAATTTTGTCAAAAGCTTTTTCTGCATCTATTGAGTTGATCATATGGTTTTTATCCTTCAATTTGTTAATATGGTGTATCACATTGATTGATT